CTTAACATTATAAACACTATAGTGGGCTGTAGTGATTGTTTGTTTTTGGTTTTTTGTCATTGTTTATTTTTCAGTGTAAAAGATTACAGACAGACTTGTGAAACCACAACAGCAATAACAAACTTTTTGTTGATATACCTAGCATTGTGGTATGAAATGTACAGGCACATTTTAAAAACAAACAGTAAGACATAAAAAATAAAGTAAGCTAATATTTACAAAATTAAATGTAGCTGCTTGCTCCTATATAAAATTTAGTTGTAAATGCCTTATTTAAGGATCACTGTAGGGTCAGGAACACAAACATGTATTCCTGACCCTATGGTGTTAACATCACCATCTAACCCCCATAGGCCCCTCATGCCTCCATAAATATAGCAAGATCTGAAGCTGTAGATCTGCATGCTGTTTGCCTCAGAAAAAAACAAGCAGTCTGCTGACATCATCAGAAGTGGTAGCCTGATCCAATCACAATGCTTCCCCATAGGATCAACAAGAGATTGACGATACCAGCAGCCGTGAGGAGTTTGTCCGTGCTTTATTTCTTTTTTTTTTTTTTTTTTATTCTTTTGTTTTTGCTGTGCAGGAAGAACAAACGCCTATTATGCCACAACAGCTGTAGTAGGACATTATAACATTTAGAAACATAGGTATGGCAAAAGAAATAGGAGCACATGTTTTAAAGTAGTCAAAACAGCTGACCAAGCCACAACAGCATAGGTAAGCAATCATAGTTACAGACAGGATACAATGCAGGTATGGCAATTGCTGGATCTGCACATTTTTAGAGTGTTAAATACAAGCTATAGAAGCATGTCTAGGTGTAGGTTAGAGTAGTAGCTTGTGTACAGTTCTAGACATGTAGACAACAAAATTAGATATATAGAGACCACCAGGTACTTGTTAAAGCTGCACCATCAGCAGAGTATTAGTTGCTAAGAGGTGTCAGAGGAGTAATACAACTATAGATAATGCATCTCATGAATAAGTAAAATAAGAAGTAGCTGACTAATAAGTAAACCAGAAGAAAAGCAAAACAAAACTTTTTAGCGGACATCAAACTAGTGTGCTAAAGCTGTCTAAAATAGACTTCAGGAAAGTCATTGTCCTTATCTCAACCAACTCAACAAGCATGTTTCTACTGGGGTCTGGATCGGCTTCCAGTTACAGATTGCTGCATGGTTCTCCCCATAGCTCCCTGCCTCACCTGGAGGTTGCTCAGATCGTCATAGGTGATACGGCCGTATTCCAGCTTCTTCACTCTCCAAAACCAAGGCCAGTACATGAGCGGGTACCTTTTCACCACTTAGTCCCCCATCTTCAGAGGACGGGCTGATGTCCTGCGAGACCCCCACTCCACAAGCAGTCCCACAGGGTTGTGGATGACTGATGGACATGACAATCTTGGTTCCCGGCCCAGCAGGAGAGCAGTGTGCTGGGATGTCGCTGGGGACACCCTCCGTCACAGGTTGGATAAGAAATGACTTTGTCTGGAAATGACCCTATCCGGGTCCAGAAAGCTGTGCATATCGCGTCAAAAGCTGCATTGAACCTTGATTCCCATTGAGACAGTGGATGCTCGGGTGGCGTGGTAGCCATCTTAGGTATGTCACTAGGCCTCTTCAAGTCAGAGTAGGTGAGAGTGTCTTTGCTCCTTAGCCCCCATCAACTTTTCTCTGGTGGGGACCAGGATAACCCCCACCGGTCCAGAGAGGGGGGTTGGGGGGGAGTACAGGGTTTCAGCTGTATGCTTCGTACACACTGACAGCTCCAGGCAGAGAGATCAGCCATTTCTCCCTTCCACAGATCACCCAGTAGCATAGGCCTCAAAATCAATTCCGGGCTGCATGTAGTTCAGAAGTGCTTCAAACTCTCAGAAAAGAACTCCTGAGTGGACAAGGACAGGTAGGTGTTCGCTGCAGTCCTCTTTAAAGTTACAATCCAAGCAGAATGTTTAAATTTCAAGCTGTATGTGAGGAGCTCACTAAGAACACAGCCATACTCCATGCTAGCCAGGCCCCGCCCCTATATGTCTTGTTTTTGGGCCCCATATCGTAATGAAAGCAGCAGCCTAGATCAGAAAAGGTAAAGGTATTTTTAATAGATTTTTTGTTGTGCTTGGCTGGAGCTCAGCATGAACATGTCCTGATAGCATATCTGCTGGTTCTGCCCTTTTTGGCTGTAATGGTTATGATGGTTGGAGTAACCCTTTAAAAACATTCTGCAAAAAACAACTACAGCTGAACATTGTCAGGGTTCTCACTAAGGTGAAAATTGTTGTAAAGACAAAGTGAATTTCAAATTAAAGGCCAAATAGCCAAACAGGAAAAATTACAGCTACTGGCTCCCTAATGCTAATTCTGAGCAAATGTCATTGCACAGTGTCAGTAATTGGTCAGCTGATACTTTCAGCCAATGAATAGTAACAGCCGAAGCTCTGCAGAACCCGGGAGCATGTCACCAGACTACCAGGGAGCCTCGCAGGGAGCCAGGTAACAGGCCAGGGAACTCATGACAAGCTGTAACAAAGAGAGGAAACCACACTCATATACTAGGTCCTGGTGCTCCTAAACCTGGGGATGAGTACCCCTATTCCAATGGTGCAAGAAAAGTATGATCCAGGCACTCATGCTTGAAAAAGATCTTATTGGAGATCGAAACGTTGCACTTTAATTCTGTTTTTCAATAAAACTGCTGCACAAGATCCTGAGAGCCTGGACCATATTTATCTTGCAAGCTGTGGTGTTTATGATGATTGGAGTAACCATTTGAGTAATAATGAAAGCTTTGTATCAGTATATTGTGTGTTCTGCATTCTGTTTGCACATTGTGTAACTTGCAGTCATTTCAGTGTTAATTAAATTATCAACAAGGGACACTGTAGGCACCAGAACCATTTCATCTCATTAAATTAGATATAATACCGGGAGTTCCGTCACTCTCCCTCCATTCAGTGTTAAAGCATTTTCAAGCAGTGTAATACTGAATGAAGGTCCATGGCTTCTCATAGCTCAGCCACAACTGGAAGTAAGGCTAACCAGAGATTACACACTTCCTTCTAGCCATACCAATTCATACCAGCAATGGGAACAGTGATAGCTTGCAAAGGCTGCGGACTGTCTCACATGAGGTTTGCAGGGTCGAATGCCAGGTCTGTAAACGGATGGACAGCCATATTTATTTAAAAAAATGATGATGATTATGGTATATGGTTCCCTAATTTGGTATTGTAATATTTAAGGATACAGAATTAGGAAACTATCTAGTAAATAGCTGAAATATGAAAATAAAAAGCCCCTTCTCTAACTGTGACCTTTCAGTTGTTTAGTAGATAAGTACCTAATTTGCTGTCCTTGTGGGATAGCCATATAATTGAGCTGTCGGCTAAACAGCTCCCTAATTTGGTATCCTTAAATAAGACAAGTAGATAATTCATATATGGCAGTAGATAATTTAGGGAAGATCAAAATAAATTTGATTAAAGATCAAAATAAAGCCATTTTCTAAAATGAATCTTTCGGCTGTTTAGTAGATAGGGGCTAGAGGGTGGTTTTAACACTATAGGGTCCGGAATATATGTTTGGGTTCCTGACCCTATAGTGTTCCTTCAAGAGAGCTGTGCATAAACAAATGCCAGCAAACTGAAACAATGTTGTAAAGAAGAGTGGGCCAAAATGTTATCACATGACAGGAGGCTTCCTATTTTGCATAACTTTCTTTACTTATGCCTCCAGCAGCACAAGTCAATCAATCCAAAACTTTAAACCAATCATAGGCTAGCACAGCCTGTATATAAGTCCTTGATGGGCGTGTCTATTCCTCTTTCTTTGCTGCTTCCAGACAGACACAGGTCAGAGTAATTCATTCAGAGTTTACTACCTATTACTGTTCATAATATATCATTTAATTATTATTTCACCTTCTACCCTCCCTATCCTCTCAACCCTGTACTGCATCCTCCTTACTATCTGCCCTATCCGCGATCGCGGCACATACAGCGACTGTGCTTTTTTTTTTTGCGGCACTGGTTTTGCATAGGGGTTCCCTGGGGGGTGGGAATGTGGGATTTAGGGTTTTCTCGTTCCTATATCTTACTGTGCATCTCTAATCAACGACGGCGGGCCGCGATCGCGAACCGCGCTGTCGTTTTGGTGCGAACGGCGGCCATCTTGGATCTCGCACCCGTGAGACCCACGACGGCCATTTGCGCCCCTAGCGGTCGTGATTCACACGATCCACTCAACACTCACTGGTTATATTTAAAGTGATAGTCCAGTTCCAACCATCCTGCGTTGAAACATTACTGAGGACATACCTGTAATATAGGTTAACCATTGCACTGCTACTGAGTGGTTCTACAGAGGTGACACCTCTCATTTAGGGGTGACCCCCCACTCACACTACTGCCATTCTTATTATAGGGGTGACCCCCCTTACGCTGGGTGACCCCCAAGAGGAGCCATATTACACTCAGTGCAGAATATATCCAAGGGTGACCCCCCTTCATATGGGGCGACCCCCACATGCTCAAGAGTCGCAGTGCAAGCAGGCTCACACCCTGCTATATCATATATATGACTCTATGCATGGTACCCACAATACGGCTGGGGTGATCCACACACCTCCTTACCGAGGAGGGAGAAAAAATTGGCAGTAAACAGGCTCCACAATTCAAACTGTATTGGGTGACCCCCAAATCACACAGGCCCTCCACCCCAGACGGGTGCGGCCCATTTATATGACCGCTCATCCCGGTCGCACAGAGGGTGACCACCTCCTCAAACCACTTGACCCCTAATCAAACAGGCCCTCCACCCCTGACGGGTGCGGCCCAATTATACGACCGCTCATCTCAGTCGCACAGAGGATGACCCCCTCCTCAAACCACTCGGGGCAAGTAATACTGGGTGACCCCCAGTCGTAAGTGGAAGCTTACTGTATTAATATTCATGTACTTCGGTACCTGACGTTCTCCTGTCTTTCACAGACACTGCCTCATGATGAGTGACTCACCACAATCACCACCATCTGACTTACAGTCAATGATTAACTCGGTGGTGGCCACCTCAGTGGAAAAGGCTATTGCCAAACTACTGGTGCAGATCCCAAAAACAGACACGGTCACCGAAACAACCACAGAAACGAAAGAACCTGCCTTCCCCAGAGAAGCCCCCAAAATAAAGCGGCAATGGAAAGGCGCCGGCTCAGGCACCCAAAAACCAAAACTCAGTTGAAAAGGAGCCGTCAGGCAGAAAGACGGGAACCATCCCTCCACACACCCCGTCCTCGGAGGACGATGACCACAACCCTCCGCCATCACTCGAAATTATGGACGAGTGGAAAAGTGAGGGCAAGGTTGCGAGCAGAATGCCCAAGACCCATACTGCCGGACAAATTTGCACAGACCCCAGAATTCGACACTACCGTGTTACTGTTCATGTCCCTCACGGGCCGTGAAAGGTATAGAGAAGGGCCTGAAGGAATCTCAGGAAAAGCTCCTCGACATACTAGGCCCTCTGGCCAAGATACTATACCTGGCTGACTTAGCCCTCTCCCAGGGCGCCGCATTAGACGCCAATTTTATACGAGAATGGGTGCAACGGGCTATCTGTATACTGGGCAACACTAACGCGGCAATGTGAGCAGAACGCCGCAAGGCAGCGTTGCTGAAATGGACCCCAAACTAATGGAGCTGGGAAAGAAAGAGATGGGACCACTGGCGAACGGCCAACTCTTCGGGGACTCATTTATAAAAGAGCTAAAAAAGCATGTGAACCTATTCACTACACTGAATAAGGCACAGACATCCATCAAACAAGTATTTCGCAACACCACACCACACCGTGGGGTTTTTGGCAGGGCTGGTCGCCAAAGGGGTCGAGCCACCAGCCGATTCTGGCCCACAGGCCCCAGAAAACAAACGCCTCAAGTGTTCTTCCGATCTTCAAGAACCAACTTCCCACAAGGGTCATCCCGTCCCAGAGGTATCCGCACCCGCGGACGCGGACGCTTTAATGCAGGTGAGCACTCCAAACGTGATGTTTTCACACTCTCATATGACTGCAGGCAGACTGTCTCTCTTTTCACAGGAATGGGGAAAGATATCCTCGGACAACTGGGTCCTACAAACAGTAGCGGGCTACGAGATTGAGTTTTCAGACACCCCAGTGCAGAACCGTCGCCCACCACCAATAAGAGCGTCGGCATTGTACACCGAACTCATAGACAACGAGATCCAGGCCCTGTTCGACAAAGGGGCGGTAGAGATTGCCCCGGACGATACGGGCATCTTCAGCAACATCTTCGTGGTCCAAAAGAAGACAGGAGACTACAGACCGGTCATCAACCTACGACAACTGAACGGATTTGCTAACTACCGACATTTCAAAATGGAAGGAATCCACCTCCTCAGAGACCTATTCTTAAAACACGACTGGTTCACTCGGCTAGACCTAAGAGACGCCTATCTATCGGTACCGATAGCCAACGTCAGTCGACCTTTCCTCCGTTTCACCTGGAAAAGAATTACTTGCCAATTCACTTGTCTCCCATTCGGCCTCAGCTCAGCACACTGGTACTTCACAAAACTCATGAAGCCGGTGATGGCACACCTGAGGGGAAAGGGCATCCGTTTCCTAATATACCTGGATGATATTCTGATATTCTGCGAGACTGCATCCAGGCTTCGATCTCAAATGAAATTCATAGTGCAATTACTGGAATTGTTGGGATTCATCATGAACAGAGAAAAATCATCACTCTACCCAGCCAGGGTTGTACAATTTCTGGGGTTCAAAATAAACTCGAGAACGTGCACTCTGCGACTGCCCATGACAAAGATTGCGACAATACGGAAAGAAATACGCCGGGTACTCCGAAAAGACTCAATACCACTACGCCTTCTGGCCAGAATGGTAGGCCTATTATCATCTTCCATACAAGCGATCTTCCCGGGACCAATCCATTATCGGGCCATGCAACGGGCAAAGGCCCACCATTTAAGACAGGGCAGTACATACGACCATTGGATTCCAGTGTCAGAAGAAATGCGGACGGAACTCCGTTGGTGGCTCCTCCACATGGAGGCCTGGAACGGCAGAGCCATATTCGGACCAAACCCAGACTTTGTTCTAGAATCGGACACCAACCTATGGGGCTGGAGAGCCCACTGCACGCAGGCATCCACGGGAGGCCCGTGGTCAGAGGAAGAAAAACTCCTACACATCAATTGCCTGGAATTCATAGCGGGCTCCATTGCGATACGCAGTTTGGCCAAACACATGTCTAACTGCTGCATACTCTTATGCATGGACAACATATCAGCAGTCCAGTACATAAACCATCTAGGCAGAGCCAGGTCACGAGCCCTAACAGAAGCGACGAGGGTCGTCTATCTGTTTTGCCTTCCTCGTAACATGAGGATCAGGGCAGAATACCTACCTGGAGTCAGCAATCTCACGGCAGAGTGGTTCTCTCGACATTGGAGAGACAGCAGCGATTGGCACCTAGACACCGCCATCTTCAACAGGGTGAGAACGGTAGACCTCTTCACGGACGAACACACAACTACCAACTACACAACTTACAGTTGGCTCCCGGACCCACAGAGCGAAGTGGTGGACACGTTCTTACAACAATGGCCATCGAAAGGTGCGTACGCATTCGCGCCATTCTCAATGCTGGCAAGAGTCCCTCATTACCTACGCGGATCAAGGACATCGTTGATACTGATCGCACCATTGTGGAAGAGCCAAGCCTGGTTCCCAGACCTACTAGACCATCTAGTCTTACCAGTGTTCCCACTCCTCCTTACGAACCCGGAAGTGGAACCTCACCTACTAATAACAGAGGAACGGCTAGAATCAGTGGCCTGGAGTCTTTCCGGGGATCCTGGAACGTCTCAGGCCTATTGTAGACAACTAGAGTCCTGGGACTCATGGGCACCTGGCACTACATGCAGCTACTTATCAGCATGGAATACATGGAATCGCTGGTGCATGGAGAGGGACCTCGATCCCTTTACAGCACCTATTTCCTACGTACTAAATTTTCTGTCCAGTCTATTCTCCGAAGGCAGAGCATACCGTTCTATTAATGTTACTCGATCCGCCATCTCGGCAGCTCACACCCCGATAAACGGAACACCAGTGGGTCAGAAGGCTTTGATATGCCGTCTACTTCGGGGCATCAGACTGTCCAGACCCCCGGACGGTTTTACTATAACACCAGAAGGAGTTACATTCATTGTGTCTCGCAGGACCAAAACGGACTCTACATCCGTGTCCTACCCCTTTTTTCCGACGGTTCCTCATTTATGCGTCGTGAACGCACTTCTACGGTATGTAGAAGTAACTGATTCTCTCCGGTTTTTTAGATCGGGTCAGCTACTGGTATCATATACCAAGCCATACAAACCTGTTCTATACACCAAAACTGCTTCATTAAGCTAAAGTTGTTCAGGTGACTATAGTGTCCCTTTAAAATTAAGATTATAGGTACACTACGTTAGCATAATCTACAATTCCTCCACAACATGTGAGAGACTGATAAAGTCATACAGAGTACATTACTTTAAGTTATTGCTGCTAAATGTGGTTCTACAAACTATTGAATCGTGAGGTGTAATCAGTAATACATGGCTTCTCCATTTTCTTTAATTATTTTGTTTTAAATAAATCATTAAACAGTGTAATATGTCATGTGTTATTGTTACTCTGAGATTGTATTTACCTAATTTTAAGACCTGCTATGAACAGATGATTGTTATTATCTCCTGACATGTAACACCATAGAATTCAAAGAGGGTGTACTTTTTATACCATTACTGTCGTTGTTTCCAAGCCGCTAGCCACAAAATCTTAATTATAATATATGGAAATATCAATCATGGAAGATGTTAGTCATTTATAAAGAACATCAAAGGGATATAGAGTTTAGAAGCTGATAATAAATCAGGGTTGGTAGCACGAAAAATGTTTATAAAACATTTATAGATGAATACAAATACAAAGAAACAAGTCCTGCGCTCAAACTCCCATCACTCCTGGGTGGCAGCAATGACCATAGTACACACCATCCCCAATACATTTAGTAAAAACCAAAGAAAAAGAGTTACCTGCGCTCTTTTCACATACCTATGTATCTTTAAACAAATGGAGGTTTTTAGTTACATCCAATGGCCATTAGAGGATATGCCAACCTGTTTTCAGATGTGACAGCAGATTGTGTTTACTTTTGAAGTTTTTTTTTTTTTTTTTATCTCCTGCTCTGCTAATTCACCATTAATCAGACACAGGAGGTGCCTGTAGCCTCTAGCATCCTATTAACAGAGCGGGAGATAGGAAATTCTAAATGAAACAGGCTGTGCAGTACATTATAATAATATTTGAGCATTAGACCTCTCTTTACAGTTAAAGGACCACTATAGTGCCAGGAAAACATACTCGTTAAACTTACCTCTTTCTCCAGCGCCGGGCGGGGAGCTCTCCTCCTCCTCTCCTGAATGCGCATGCATTCACAATGCTTTCCTATGGACGCTGGCGTTTTCTCACTGTGAAAATCACAGTGAGAAGCACGCAAGCGCCTCTAGTTGCTGTCAATGAGACAGCCACTAGAGGCTGGATTAAAGGACCACTATAGGCACCCAGACCACTTCAGCTTAATGAAGTGGTCTGGGTGCCAGGTCCAGATAGGATTAACCCTTTTTTTTTTTATAAACATAGCAGTTTCAGAGAGCCTCTAGTGGCTGTCTCACTGACAGCCGCTAGAGGCGCTTGCTTGCTTCTCACTGTGAAAATCACAGTGAGAAGACACCAGCGTCCATAGGAAAGCATTATGAATGCTTTCCTATGAGACTGGCTGCATGCGCGTACGGCTCCTGCCGCGCATGCGCATTCAGCCGATGATGTCGCTAGGAAGAAGGAGAGGAGGAGGAAAGCTCCCCGCCCGGCGCTGGAGAAAGGTAAGTGTTTAACCCCTTCCTCTCCCCAGAGCCCAGTGGGAGGGGGACCCTGAGGGTTGGGGCACCCTCAGGGCACTATAGTGGTCCTTTAACCCGAATGTAAACATAGCAGTTTGTTTATAGAAAAAAAGGGTTAACCCTAGCTGGACCTGGCACCCAGACCACTTCATTAAGCTGAAGTGGTCTGGGTGCCTATAGTGGTCCTTTAATGTGTAGGGAGACTGTATTGGTCACATGCAGGAAGGTGTGACTAAGACTGCATGAACAAAATGACTTAAATTGACTGGAGTGCTGCCGTGCAGGGGTGCCGCTTATTGGCTGTCGGCAGTCTGCAGACCCTCTCATCCAATCAGTGACTCTCCATTCACTAAACTGGCCTGGAATGAAATGTACCTTTTTCAAGCCAATTTAATGAATGGGAAGTAGTCGTTTCTAGCCTGAGAGGATCAGCCACCCACGCTCAGCCAATCAGGGGTGCCCGTGCTCGGCAGCGGTCTGCGCTTTCTAAATCTGAAGATTCCGAAGTCGATTACCCTGGGGGAGGGGTAGTTGAGACTGGCGCTGTAGAGCAAAAAATGGGTCACAAGAGTATCCTGAGAACGGACAGCAGCTAAAATAGCCTGCCCTTTGGTGGGTCCCCGCTCAGAACTCAAGCTGGTTTTAGCTCAACTTGTGCCATTACAGAGAGAACATATCTGAAGCATATCAGACTGGTCCCACCCATACGGGCAGTCCAGATCCGAAATGCCAGCAAGTTCTCTCTGCACGAGAGATACAGCAACCCCAGACGATCGTTTCAGCCTTGTTAGGCATCGTCAGTGAGGCATAGCTGATATCTCTCTAGGCACCGTGAGCAAGGGGTCCACGTCTGGATTACCCTTTAAACTAATGGAGAGCAAAAAATGGGTCGCAAGAGTATCCCGAGAACGGACAGCAGCTAAAATAGCCTGCCCTTCGGTGGGTCCCCGCTCAGAACTCAGGCGCTGTAGGCAACTTTGGGGTTAAACCTTTACAGAATGGTTTAACCCCTTGAAGTAAGGGTGCCTCCTGGCACCATAACAACTTATTTAATTTAGATAAAGTTGTTTTAGTGCCTAGAGTGTCCCTTTAACTGCAGTAAAACATAATGTTAATAGATATTATACAAGGCAGCTTGGTACCCACTCACTGCTTATTTAACAGAACCTGTAGGATATAAAGAAACCTGGCAGGCTGACCAGCTGTAGAATATACTGGAGCTTCCATAATAAAAGTAATATTGTTATACCATTACAGTGTACAGGTAGCTATTGCTCCTCTATAATAGCTGCTCACTCACCCAGTGATCCCCCCCACTACCACCACAACAACTCTGGAGGTGACAGGACCTCGGAGTAACCATAGCAACCAACTGTCCCTTCCGCCCAACTGCTACCGGAACTAAACGTCCGACTGACAGTCGGCTGCGCCAATGGGAAGACGGGAAGGGCCGGAGACCGTGTGATTGATGTTCTAGCTGACCAATCAGGTAGCTCGGGAGGCGGAAGTCTGTTCCTTAGAGGGTGTTGCTGTGTGGGGATTAGAGACGGTTTAACGGACAGGAGGTGATACAGGGAAGGCAGGAATCCCAGCAGGTAATGACATCTCCCTATAGCCGAGCAGCCTAGCTCCATTCTGTCACTCAGTGTGTATGTACAGGGGCTGGGGGGTTTCACTTATTTCCTATTAATGTCTTTAGCTGGGGGCTGACCATCATGTTAAACCAGCCACATGGCTGCCTGAGCCTCATGGGAATGAGATATAACTGCATTACCCGGGGTATGGCAGAAATAAAAGCTCATGGTGCTCTGCTAGCCCTAAGCATCATGGGAGTTGTAGTTCTGCAGGGGCTGGTGTGGAGCCCCCCTCCCTCTCCTGTATGCAGTCATTATCCATACCTGTATGCAGTCATTATCCATACCTGGTCTGTAGGTCTCCTGTATGCAGTCATTATCCATACCTGGTCTGTAGGTCTCCTGTATGCAGTCATTATCCATACCTGGTCTGTAGGTCTCCTGTATGCAGTCATTATCCATACCTGTATGCAGTCATTATCCATACCTGTATGCAGTCATTATCCATACCTGTATGCAGTCATTATCCATACCTGTATGCAGTCATTATCCATACCTGGTGTGTAGGTCTCCTGTATGCAGTCATTATCCATACCTGGCGTGTAGGTCTCCTGTATGCAGTCATTATCCATACCTGGCGTGTAGGTCTCCTGTATGCAGTCATTGTCCATACCTGGCGTGTAGGTCTCCTGTATGCAGTCATTATCCATACCTGTATGCAGTCATTATCCATACCTGGTCTGTAGGTCTCCTGTATGCAGTCATTGTCTATACCTGGTCTGTAGGTCTCCTGTATGCAGTCATTGTCCATACCTGGCGTGTAGGTCTCCTGTATGCAGTCATTATCCATACCTGTATGCAGTCATTATCCATACCTGTATGCAGTCATTATCCATACCTGGTCGTGTAGGTCTCCTGTATGCAGTCATTATCATACCTGGCGTGTAGGTCTCCTGTATGCAGTCATTGTCCATACCTGGCGTGTAGGTCTCCTGTATGCAGTCATTATCCATACCTGGCGTGTAGGTCTCCTGTATGCAGTCATTATCCATACCTGGCGTGTAGGTCTCCTGTATGCAGTCATTATCCATACCTGGCGTGTAGGTCTCCTGTATGCAGTCATTATCCATACCTGGTCTGTAGGTCTCCTGTATGCAGTCATTATCCATACCTGGTCTGTAGGTCTCCTGTATGCAGTCATTATCCATACCTGGCGTGTAGGTCTCCTGTATGCAGTCATCCATACCTGGTGTGTAGGTCTCCTGTATACAGTCATTATCCATACCTGGTCTGTAGGTCTCCTGTATGCAGTCATTATCCATACCTGGCGTGTAGGTCTCCTGTATGCAGTCATCCATACCTGGTGTGTAGGTCTCCTGTATACAGTCATTATCCATACCTGGTGTGTAGGTCTCCTGTATGCAGTCATTATCCATACCTGGTCTGTAGGTCTCCTGTATGCAGTCATTATCCATACCTGGCGTGTAGGTCTCCTGTATGCAGTCATCCATACCTGGTGTGTAGGTCTCCTGTATACAGTCATTATCCATACCTGGTGTGTAGGTCTCCTGTATGCAGTCATTATCCATACCTGGTCTGTAGGTCTCCTGTATGCAGTCATTATCCATACCTGGTCTGTAGGTCTCCTGTATGCAGTCATTATCCATACCTGGTGTGTAATGTTGTGGTCTGTGATGGGTTATCTAGTCTCAGTCCTCCAGCTGTCAGACTGAAATTCCCATAATCCCATGCACAATTTCAGGATTATTAATTACAATGGGAATTGTTACGATCAGTCAAGGTATTTTCAGGCAAAACTACTTTATGTAAATATGGAGGCTAGTGGTACAGAAAAAGCGAGCAGTTAGAGCTATAGAATGGTGATTTTCCTGTTTGTTTGTTTTTGTGTGTGTAAAATGTATTGATCTGGTTTTTGCATCATCCCTTAATAATGGTAACATGCATGCCCACAATGCCTTTAATATGTCTCTTATCTCTTGTATTTTCTTATATATTCTATTCCTCTGTAAATATCTTAGCATTCATGATGGACGAGACAGAAGTAGCTGAAGCACGTTGTGTATTTCGAGGGATAGAACACATACTGCGAATCCGTGACACGGGGAACAGACTGGAGGTGGAAGTAGAAGATGCTGTGACCACCGATCAATGGAGAGGGGAGTTTGATGCTGAGTGTGAGTTTTACCATGTAAAGTTGAAATGTATTCTTAACTTTGCTTGAAGTATTTTTTTTATTTTTTATAGCATACTAACATTCTATGGACAAAACTGGCCTTTTAAAACCGATATGTGATCAGATTTTTTTTTTAGGTGTATTCAATATTATTTTATATTAGTTTATCAGATTCAGACATTGTTTATTTATAGACGCTTTTCTGTGCATCCTATTTCCTTGCATAATCCTCTAATAAGTTAGTACTTTTAGTGATGCTTTTTTAATGAGCTATTATGCTCCAGTCTCAGACTGCACAGCTACCTGCATGGGTGTGCCATGTGTACCTGCATCCTTTTCTGTCTGTACAGGACTACTCTGCAATCAGGACAGATTGTGAAAGACTGCATGAAACACTGACATTCTGAGCTGTAAAAACCACTAGAAGAAATACAAATCATTTTCTAAATAATTGCTCATCTGTACATCTAATAGTTGCTTGGCTAGCAAAATGTGTGGATTGTGTGACAAGAAGTTTAAAATGTGGACTTGAGTACCTTTTATTGATCTGCTGGGCTGGAATTTAGTTGAATTACCATGCTTCTCACTTAAAGGGTCTTTCTAAGCAGCATCACAGCTAAGGTAGTGCAAAGGTAATTGCACACAGAGTACCCCAATCTTACTGTCATACCTGCAAGTGGATTAAAACTGCAGAAATTTGTTAAATAAAAAAAGATGTACCTGCAGGTATAATGTTGCTTCTTAGAACTGTCAGTTATCTGTAATTACCAGTTCGAACTCTCCGATATCAATTTTATCTAAATTATGCATAAAACTTACCTAGTGTCCTATGGGTGCTGATTTCCTTTGTTCTGCTGCTGGAAGCTCCATCCATTGGTCTAAAGCAAGTAGTGCAGGGTTTAGCTCATTAGCTGGTGCTTCTAAACAATGAGCTGGCTCTGCATGGTAAGGCTTAGCTCATTGGAACTAATGGAAGCTCCTCGTAGAAGCTTCCTTCTCCTTCAGAGGCTGTGACCAGCGCTCCGCAGACTCCGGGTAAGTCGGCATGCATTTTGCAAACAGTTTAACTAATTACCGTGTCATTGCGCCTTGGCATTCTTGGCATCACGGATTAAGGTGCTTGTAGTGTCCTTTTACTATGCCTATGAAATATGTTATGACAATATATCATGTAGGCTACTTTACTCTCATTAACCCGAAATTGAAAAGAATTGACTAGAGAATTGCATATTCTTTGTAACAAAACAAAAAACCCTCTCCAATCTGGCCTATTTTTGTATCCAATTTGAAATTCCTTTCTCAATTCTCCACAATAATGTGTTGAGTGAATATTAAAAGCATGTGTTTTCATACTGTCTGAAATGATGGAGCCTAATGGCATAGATAAACTGAAGACTCTGAAAGGACTGTAAGGTTGACTGTTGCCAGAATTGGTTTGATTTTTGCTTATTGTGAACTTGGCGTTATTATATTTCATTGTCTTACAGTTATAGAGGATCTCACACACAAGACTGGAAACTTCAAGCAATTTGCCATCTTTTGCAACATGCTACATTCTGCCCTGACTCAGGTGAAATTTATGTCTTCTATGAAAGTCCCTTGATGGGTCAGTAAATACCATATTTTAAGTCTTGATTTGCCAAAGAGCACTAAATGTGTAGCTTCTCCCCCAAGGGTAAAAAAACCAAACTCTTAACTCCTTCATATTTTGCGGATACATTTATTTTCTTCTCCACACAGGCCAGCGAGTCGGTGACCCTTGACCTACTGACGTACGCAGACCTGGAATTGCTACGCCACAGGAAAGTAGGAGGGACGTCTCGACAGGCTCCTCCCTCCAGAAGCTCTGCCCTTAGTTCAAAACGTTACCTGATCCTCATATATTCAGTGGAGTTTGACAGGTGAGCTTTATCATAGTATAAGCTTAAAAGATACCAGAATTTTTTTAAATGTATTTTATTATTATTATTATAAGAATTCTTGCACTATGTAATAACATTTTTATATGAAGTATATGTAAAATGACCTGAAAATCTGGCCTCTACTTTCATAGATCTCTAGATCCCTCTGCAATATTCAAATATCTTTGGTCAGACTGAGCTAGAATCCAACCATTAGACTGTTGCTTCACACCCAGCACAGAGCAGTATGTTCTTCTAAGTAGGACAGAGTTGCTGCAGTCCCTGTACATAGTGAACACGGTCCTCTTTCCTTCCTAAGCAGCCTTTCATTATGCAGCAGCTCTACAATATACAGTCTGCTTCTAGTGAATATCTGCTTGTTTGAGCTCATACAGTTAAATAGCTCTGATGGTTTGTCATTGTTGATTTTTGGAAACCAGCTTGTTCTGTCTTATAAGTTTTTATGGGTAGGTAAGTATATTATTCTGGAGGATTGCTAGTGGATTGAGGACCTGTAGCCTTTTTTATTTGGTGGGGTGAACAATATGTGCCCCTCCCTCCGATCTAATCTATAATCAATTGGGGTCCCCACCCACCAGCATGGGTAAGGCCGGGTAGAAGATAAGAAGAGGTGGGGGCATATGGAGGTAAAATGCATCCATTATAGCAATATAGGGGTCTCATCGGGGAACATTCAGTTCCTCCATGCAGAGTGTGTAGTCGCTGATCAACAAAAATGAAACTGTAGTGGTTCTGGTGACTATAGTATCGCCTTAAGGCAAATAACAATGTATCTTTTCCTGTCATTTGACTATTATTTAAGCCTAACTTGCTGTTTAGTCTTTACATATGTAGGTTCAATACTCTGAGGTGGTGTGAGAGAATGCAATGCTAAACTCGGATTAGCTGAGATTTAAACAGAAATCATCATTTTAATAAAATCCCCTTAGTAACAACTGCCTGTCATCAAGCAGACAACCGGATAGTTTCTCGCCTCACTTGCTTTGAACTATAATTCACAGCAGTAGTGGATGTTTCTTATAGAGAAGCACTGGTTTCAATGCTTCTCCGAGAAGCATTGTTGGTGTGACAGTATTTCTCTGTAAGAACCATTTCTCAGTAATGACTTAACAGAAGAAGGATTGGAGCTGCAGTGAGGAGACTCTAGGTCTAGGAACTGGAGTGCAAGTTCAATTCGAACCCTTTTGATATTTAAATGAGGGGTTCAGGAATTTTAAGGGACAGAAGCAACATTGTGTGGCTGAAACGTTGTCATGACTGTTTGACAAAATACGAGAGTATTGCAGAATGCAATGATACCTTTTTTATTGGACGAACGTAATATTTCAAGACCATGAATTTGTTATTGAATTAATTTACATATTATGTTAGTCCAATATAAAAGGTATTGCATACTGCAATATACACATTCATTTTTTTCTTTTCTCTTGCTCTGTTGTCGCCTTGCATGTGACTTGTATCTAGTATGCAGTGTTCGGTGCCATGCTGCGTTTAGGCTTTGAGAAAATGCACCCACTTGTATCCCTTATAATAAAACCTTGAAATCCATGGCCACTTCTGAATGAAAGACTTCATGTGTGCTTTTATGAAACCGTGTTTGTGTGAAGATGCATAAAAAAAGAGAAAAATCTCCAAACTAGTCTGTGTGTTTATCTGCAGGATACATTACCCCCTCCCTTTGCCATATGTTGGAAAGCCAGATCCAGTCTACCTGCGCCAAGTGATCAGAGGTTTGAAGGAAGAACTAGCGTCTTTGAGAGCTGCACAAGGAGGGGAAACCATGGCGAGTGAAATTCGGCATTTACGAGAAGAGTGAGTGTCTGCAAAAAATATAAAGACCATGAAAGTGTTATTGAATGAATTTCCATTTTCAGTTTACACTATCGTGTTTCCAAATATTAGGCTTCAAATGATGAAGGAGGAGAAAAGGGAGGCAGAGCTTGCGTTGGAAAGGCTGCAGGAACTCTCTGTTCCCAATGAGAAAGAGGCAAATCATACCCGAATACTCAAGAGGGCGTTACAGACCCTGGAGACAGACCTACATAAAGAGAAAATGAAGAACCAGCGAGTGGCCAGTAAGAGACGGGAAGAGTGCAGGCAGTTAACAGAGCAGGTACACGCCATAGGACCTTACTGACCAGGAGATCTTGTATCTTGTCAACCTCCAAGCATATTAAGCTTGTACTAAAATTCACCATAAGAATGGCTAATTAAAGGAACACTCCTTCCACCATAACCTTTTCAACATGTTGTTGTAGTGGTTATGATGACACGAGTCCCCTGGCTTTCTTCAAGTTGATGTAGTTGAACCGTTAATGGTTTTAATGTGTTCCGGTCACTTTTGCTAGTGAGAACTGTTGGCTCTCCTGAGGTAAGCTCTGCACTCCAGGGACCGGCAGATCTCCGGGAAGATTAATCGTTGGTGAACCATAATCACTACAGCGCGCTTGGAGTGTTCCTTCAATAATTTATTTCAGAAACTAGTGAGAATGTGATGTCTTTTAAGTGCTTATGCTAGCAAGTTGTATGAATATTTGTAGGTTTTTCCTGACATTTCATCCACTGATTAGGAGTGTTATAATTCATTAACACAAAATAATATTGCTTATAATACATTATGAAAATTGGTAAAAATATTCTCCTCTTGAATCAGTTTTTTAAATTTAATCTTTCAATGGATTTTGTAATAGATGGTGTACAGAGTACATGCTGTAACTTCTAAAATGGTAAAGGAAAGTACACTCTTGACTCGTCTTGGGTTACAGTAAATTTTACATTATTTTACATCTACCGGCACATTTCAAGCTTTTCCCAAAGACTCTTACTGACTGTTACTGCCACCAAAATGTAAGCATATAGTATTTCCAAAGGAGAGGGCAGCACTCTGGCACATTAACAGTGTTGGTTAAAGGTGTGATATCGAGAGACTTGCTCTGGGTCCTTGCCATGCAAAAATAGAAAAGGGAACCACAACAGTTCCAAATAGATTTTAAAGGGAAACTATAGTTGCAGCAAAACAAAGTTGTTGTTATAGCTCCCTATAGCGCTCCCCTTGCCATGGTGCAGATAAAAACCCCTTCTGTCACTTAACGGAGTCCAGCGCTTATGTCCCTCTCTGCTGGTTCGAGCTCCACCTCTGTTCTCTGAGCATTAGCACCTTTGCATTTTTGCTACGTGAAGTACGCTTCCCACAATATTCAGGAAGCCCCTAGACCCCTAGTGATAGGCAACCATCAGAACTCCAGATATTGTCTATTAGGTCTCCCCTAATGCATTGGCAACGTTATGGGAGGTATAGTCCACATCACACAGAGTGAATGACTGGGGAATTTAGAAGCATCGTTCATAAATACCTTTATTATATTTACCATCTGCTGACTTGTATTTTTTTTTTTTCTCTCTCCCGTCATCTCTCCCGTTTTCCTCCTCTGTTTAGCTGGAGGAATCTCGAGCTATAGAACGTACCCTTCGGTTGAAGGTGAAGAGCTTAACCACTGAACTAGCAATGTACAAAAGAGGGTGAGGAAACATTATTAGACTTTAGCAAGACATGATTCCTTTTTAAGTTGTCTTTTCATCTCATTCTAATTGGACAATAACCGGGTTCTTCACCATAGTGAGACTTCAGAGTGAATTTCAAATATAAGGTAAAAATAGCCGAACTAGAAACATTCTCTAAATCAGCTATGTTTCCATTTCACACCCACAGACGAGTGACACCTACTGGACCATCTCCACAGGGTCGCTCTAGCTCTGCCAACCGGGGCCCTCCCCAGCGAACTGCTTCCCGTGGAGAAAAGCCATTGCGGAGGGACAGATCTACATCATGTGACCGTAGTGGTAGGAGCTCGGGAGAGGGGAGGAATCTGATTAGAGCAGCAAGGTTGTCTCCCTCTCCAGTAGGTAAGTGTTCTGATTAGTGTAATTCCTAATAATATGTAAATTGTATGAAACCTGTCTGAATGTTGTTTTGTTGGTACAAACGGCTTTTTAAACAACCATTTTCACCAATGTCTCTGGTCACAAGACCCATCTGTATTCACAAGTTTTCCTTTAACTACTATAATCTCTACATGTTCTCTGTCCTTTTCACTAGAAAAGATGAGTGCCTTATAAAATGTGGAAATCAGAGTAACAAAATGTATTTGGTAAGGTGCATTGAGGGCTTATTAAATTGGTGGCCTTAATCTCCCTAATGCCGAGGAGTACAGTTTGGCAGCCCAACCCAGGCATGCATTGGACTGGTTAGAGAATTAGTTTTTTGGCTTGCCAATTTGAATCTTTCTTAGCCTTGCCAGACTCTCTGCCAGCCTTACCTCAACCACCTCACTTCCAAATAATATTGTCTCATTCTCTCTTAAGAGTAATGATGGAAGCTCCACATGGTGAGTGACCAGAACTCATATTGTTAATGATTGTCACTTCTCAAGGCACTAAACTTAGAAGATGACCCATGGGTGCTGCCTTATAATATCCCTTGCATGGCATAATCCGATACATGGACAAATGTCTCCATTTTATATTACTGCACAGTATGGGGTAATGGTGGCGCTACATCCATGATCCACCGCAATTCTTTTTAACACTTTCCAACTTGGCATGTGTTCACAGACACTTGACTTTCTACAGCAAGCATGTCAAAATCAAAGGCTAACACAGGCCAAATAAATAAGGTTTAAATGTATGTGGGCCGCAAAAAAACAAAAACTTCAGTTTTCATTGAAATGTACAGTATAAAAAAAAAGTTGCCTAACTGACACAGAACATCCTCACGCTCATAGGGCTTCAAAGTAAACAAAAGAGCAAATTTATTTTAAGGAGATATTTATTTGCATATAACTGTTTCAGTCCAACTACCTTGACATATTAAGAAAAGTTTGGTAATGGGACTGAAATGGTGAATGTATGCTCTTGCACAGCTGTAAAAAAACAAATTATGTTATCTTGTTTATTTTGAAGTCCTATGAATGTGTTCTTCACTTTGGCTGGGTTCATCAAACTTGATGATCTCAGCCAATCCAATGCTTTCAAATAGGAAAGCATTGGGAGGCTATTGTGCAAGTGTGGTAAAAAGCTACGTGGCCAAACACCATCTGTATGGGGAGCGTTCAGCGCCTCCATGCAGACCCAATCTAATACACTGCCCCCTCCCCGCATTAGTATGTGCTTCACAATCTATCTGCTCGAAAATTTCATACTGGTACATTATTTGGTGGTCTTCTGAATAAGATGATGCACATCCCATGCATTCTACAATCGTTTGAATAGAGTATAGAGTTTACCTTCAATAGTAAAATCTTTGGTTAAATATAGAAAATGACGTAACTGGAAGGGCCTATTTTTAAAGTTTGTTTTTTAGTTCACCAAAATTCTAGGTTTAGTGAATAAACCCTTCACGTTTGCAGCTAAGTTTCAGTGCACCACTGTTCCCTGTTTACTGAATAAACCTCACTGTCCTTAATAAGCCTTTGTGAGGACTTCTATTGAGAAAGAGATGTTTGATAAATTGCAGGAGACCTATACATAGCTCCCAAGGTCTGTAAATACTATAAAATTTAAAAATTGTCCTGCTTGACCAACATGAGTACGTGACTTGGATCATTAAATGTTTTATTTTATATATATTTTTGTTTATTTTTTTTGCGGCGCATTTTACACCTCCTCCCCAAGGCAGTAGCAACCCTCTTTTGAAAAACAGGGACCAGCTTAGTTTTTCCCTTGACGTGCGTGAGCAAACTGCATTGAATGTGTTTTGTATTCATTTGCAACTTAACCAATTAAGAATGATTACATTGTATACACAATGCAAACCAATAAAATGAGACAGCTACACACCGTAAATAAGAAGCCCCATAACGTATCTAATTCGTCACATCTTCATCAGGTCCAGGTTGTATACTGGTAATGCAGCTGCAAAGTCCTGATAACTGGATGATATCATCTGGAAGGGTAACACTAGATTGCAGGCTTGCTGGCATTGTCCTTGCTGTGTGGGAGGCCTAATGACCTGTGCATATGATTGGCTTGCTTATTTCTTGGGTTCTATTCATTCTGTATTGATGAGTCAGTGCTATAAATATTTAGTTTTTGAATAAATTGACAGTCATTTCAGCTCTTGGATTTACGAATTAACGAAACGTACAACTCTTGTTAAAGATTTGTTTTAGAAAACTAGTGTGTCATGGTAGAATAAAGTTGCCACTCTTCTGTGTCGTAGGTCTTCGTCCTCCAAGGTTTGATCCGACTGCCTTTGTGAAAGACCGTGAGCGCAAGCAAAGGGAGGTGGAACAAAAGAAGTAAGAAATTATCCTTCTAAAATACCCCACCCCCCACCATTGTCACAGGCTTGAAGTAAAAACTGTGTGCCTATTTCCCCCAGTACCAGGGTGCGCAGAGTTTCTGGGTCCCCATCCACTTTAAGAGGACAGAGACGCAGCTCATCAGGTGAGTCTTCTACCTTTCCAGCTCTTATTTATGTTTTATCTTTCTTCAATGTAAAGTCCTCGAGTGTGTCTCTCAATACATTTAGAGTTTGAAGCTGTCTCTCCAAATTTAGGTTTAAATGCCTGAGTTTAGCTGCCCAGATTATGGTTTGAAGTGTTGTCTTTTCTGATTTTTAGACTACATTGTTGGGACTATCTCTCAGCAGCATTGGTTAGAGTTTGCGGCCTTTCTGCAGTCAGGTTAAGACTGTGCAGAACCTTTTCTCTTGGCGCACAATTCATAAAAAAACTTTCTATGTTCCAGTTGAGAGTCTGCGAAGCCGCCGTTCATATCAAAGCTCAGGTGATGAAATGGAGGACACCGAGCCACTTGCCAGCAGGTAATAACTGAGGGGGGAGGGAGGGGGGGGGGGAAACCTTTACTGGTTTATGTAATAACATTTTCTGAAATTCTTGTCTGGAAGCCGATTTGGGTTTGAGCATTAGAAAAAGGTTTAAGGGTAAGGGCTTTGGTTGAACATGTTCTGCGCTCAATGCACTGAACACATGGCTAGAGCTAAAGTGCTCCTGACTTTTTACCCCAAATATCTCTAATCCGGTCCAATGCCTGGAATAGCAGTAAGCACATGTTCAAGGCAGTTTTCATTAAACTGTGTAGGTGACAAATGCACTTTAATTACTTGTTACACCCATGTTTTTTTTCCACATGAGCAAGTATTATAAAGCATATTATATTCTTCAAGCTGTATTGTACAATAAATAGCCTCCACAGGTGTTAGCAGTACAAGCCTACCTAATGTTATTTGCCACTGTCTGTAATTATCGGCATATTTCACATAAAATCATTATATTGGGTTATGGGCAAATCCATGGTTGACCAAAGTTGATCTGGTCACCTGTTGGACTGAATTCCCCATAATTCTTAGCTGGCTGTTGGAAACACCAAATTTTAGTGTTCAAAATGGATTAACGGTTTGTGGACATTTTACAAGAGATAACATTACTTCTAATGATTAGCATACATTTCCCCCTCCCGTCAAAAGTTGTCTTGAGGTCAGAGAATGGCACATAACTGTGCCACCTTTTCATAAATATAATGCATAGTCTAACTACTCCTATCACTAGTTTAGAGAAGTGAAAGAAGAAAATGAATTTTGAAAATGTGTTAGGAACTGGATGAAAGAGAGTTAATTGGTTTAGAGTCTTTGAGTTTTGCTGGTCAAATGGCAGAGTTTTTGTGGCACCCCACCAACCTCTCGAGTCTTTTTGTATTTCCTAATTAGTCCTGTTGCTGAGCAGAAGTGGTGTGTTTTTAGTCTCCATGTTCATTTTGAATTCTAAGCTTGGCATGTTTATAGTCTACTGCAGAAGCCGGATGGTGACCAATTCTGTGTGTTGATGATGTAAAAGCTCCTGCAAAGTTTGGGCAGAAGAGCGTACTGAGGAAAGCCAGAAGATATTTTAGTCAATCCATTAGCTGAGGAAGCCCTTTTGTTTGCTGATATTTGTGATTTAAGAGGATCCCAACCCAGTCCTCAAGTACCCTCTAACAGTCCAGGATTCAGGAATTACCCAGTTGTGTCTAATGTGTTTTTTAGAAAAACAAAAACACTTTAGACACAACCAGGTAATCCCTTAATCCTGGACTAATAGGGGGAACTTGAGTACTGGGTTGGGAACCACTGACTTGGAGGGATTCTCAGGTCTGGCAGAGTGTGAAACTAGGCAAGGGAAGAGTGGAACAAGTATATAGTATAGTAAGTCAAATACAGGTTAGAGGAGAAAAGAGATTCACTTACAATGTATAGTTCTATCTTAGCGCTTGGGCAGTTTAACCCCTGACTGAGGATGTGAGGTGTATCTCTTGATCCAATGAGGGGTGGTCCGAAGATTATGAAATACAAACAGAATGGATACCAATATAGTGTAGTATATTTGGTGTCATAGATGAGGGTGATATTATATGTGGATATGCACTCACATTCTATGTAGCCTAAAGATGGCTCTGAATACATTTCGTGAAGTGGTATAATCCACACTCTTGGATATGTTGGTGGTAGTGATCCTCACGATGATGATGTGTGGATAAAAAAAATAAAACTAAACTGGGGGCGGAGCTAAGCTATTGAACGGAACGGTCGCATGCCTAATGTGCTCCGACACCAGAGGCCTGTTTTTCGAATTTTCAGCGGCCCCAGATACCGACAAACGGACCCCACCTGGACCCCCAGGCAGACCACACCGGCATGGGCCGAAAAATAAAAAAACAGAGGCCGGACAAGCCGAAACCAGGGGCGAGCATCGGAGACTTATGGCGGCAGGCGCATGGCGCCTCAATGCCCAAAATGGCGGCCTACATGGAGGAGAGCTCCGACTTCTCTGACGACCATAGTTTGGAGCCCCGGGATCTACAACCTCCAGCTCCGAGAGAACTAAACCGGAACACGGTACCCGCAACCTTACAACCGGAGTCATCACCAGTCACCAAAGCCGACATGCAGGAGCTGCTGGCAGGCCTGCGGAGAGACATCCAAATGGATTTGGCGACTTTCCGCAAAGACCTACAGGGTTTGACTGGCCGCATGGGTACCCTGGAAACTGACACCCACAATGCGAAGGCACAACTTACCCAACTACAGCAAGAGGTGCAGACACTGCAAAAACAACATACCGCCACGGAACAGCGGTTTGCAGCACTGGAGGACTCCAGGCGAAGCAAAAACCTTAAGATCAGGGGAGTAGCAGAAACAGTCCCCGACGCGGAGCTACCGCATCTGATAAGACGTCTACTAACGGCGGTATTGCCCTCTAAACAGGCGAAATCGGTGTCACCCGAAGAAATATTCCGGATCCCGAGACCACAAAAAGCACCAGCCACAGCTCCGCGTGACCTGATTGTCCGATTTCAATCAGGGCAAGACAAAGCAGCAGTCATGGGGGCACTAAAAGGAAAGACCCCCTACAACTTTGAGAACTTACTACTCACGTTTTACACTGACTTATCAGGAAGCACCCTGGCGTGGCGCAAAACACTACAGCCTTTCACGCTGCTTCTCCGCGAACGGAGCATATCATACAGATGGAGAGGATCCCGCACTCTAGCCGTCCTCCAAGGTAACATCTCTTACCCTGTCCAAGACCTCGAAGGGGCGGTGGCCATCTTAGAGACCCTGGGCCTTCCACAAGACTCCCTACACAACAGAGGAGCAGGGACAGGGGCCGCAACGCATGTCTGGGACCCGGCCGGCGCAGCTCCATTTGTACCACGCAATTCCGCAGAAGACACCTACAGAACGGCCACAACCTGAACTCTAATCACTAATCTCTACAGAGAATCACACACCAACCTTCCAGCTTAACAGAGACTTTTTCCCCTTTTTTTTTTTTTTCTCCCCTGACCTCACTCACGTTAGTCCATACTGAACCCAGGCACTACCATCTCAGGACGGTCGGGGGCAAGAGGGCCTATATCCCCCATGCTTACCTGGATGTTGCTGGGATCCAACCCCCGTCGGTCGCTCTGACCGTCAGCACGGACTTTAGGTCAATAGACTTGGGCCTCATCGGCTGATCCAGCAGGGATTTGGACTCAATAGCAGGCATAGTACTCGCTGTAACCCAGCCTCATATGCCCCAAATGAACTCCCACGAATCTCGGTTAACAATGTTATTTTCTTCCCAGTTTAAAGTGCGGTGTGTGTTTGTTTTTGGGTTTTTTTATGCTGCCAACGTTAGCCCTTGAAAAGCATCGCACAGACAGCTTATTGTTTAGAATGATTATTAATCTTAGCATGCAAATACATTGAGAGCCCCGGTATAGCGTAATGTTTAAACCTGTAAGCATATGAGAAAGGTCTCCTTTTACGCAACATATGCATCTCCCATTTATGTTTGCATGTAATACTATACTCGGGCCACAGGGCCGCACTACTCAACCCAGGGATGGCCTCCACCTTAATGAGGAGACCGAGTGGTGTCTTATGGTAATCTACGTATTGCTAATATGATTGAAGGAATATAGCCATGGGGGTCAACTGTATTAACTATCAGTTTAGCTAACTAATTTACTCACCCACTTATTAGATTTAATCACCAATTTACAGGTCTGCTAATATGTTGTTCTAAATTGAATGTCTTGTTTTATAAGCAGACCTGTAGGTTTCAGCATCCATCTCACTACTGTAGTATATAGCGAAATGACGCCAAGATACTCACATACTACGCTACAATGCAGTGAAACAAGGTCTAGCCTGTAATCGAGCTTGTTTTGTTTTTGTTTTTTTGTTTTTTTCTATCATTACAAAAATGTGCACACACACAAGCCACTGCCAAGCTATTGAGCATGTTTTTGTACGCTGTTGTGGCGTTTGCCGATGTTATGTACCAATCTGCACAATCAAAATAAAGAATAAAAAAATAAATAAATAAAAAAATTAAAAAAAATAAACTATAGTGCACACTGTAATTTAAAAAAAGTGTAAAATAACTGGAAATTTGCTCACAAGTGTGAAACAAAAACGGATTGTTGCTCAATCTTCAACGTGTAAGTGGTATGTTCCCTACCAAGGAGTTTAATGTCTAGGGATCAGGAACAAAACAGGATGGTCGAGGCATATGAGAGATCCACTAGCACCAATTCTAATTATGTACCAAAACACATTATGTGTTTGTTTGTTTTTTTTGTTTTGTTTTTGTGTTAAGGTGCCTCACTTCTTTCTCTTAGTGGCTCTGTTACATGGAGCCTTAGCGCTATTGCTCTTTCTTTCCTTTGTACACATCCTATAATCCTGTGCACAAGAACTACAAATTAAGATGGTCAAATAAAAGAAATCCATTAGTTTTATTAGAAGTATCTTAAAAGTACATAAAACACAATAAAATATAGCACAAGCTTGTTTGATCACATTAAATTAACTTTATCAAAGGTACACTACAAGAAGTATTCAACTCACCACACTCTATAGATGTTCCACTGTTGTCTTGTCTTGTTTCATACTTGGACGCAATGAGGATCTCTCTAGGCGCTGCTCCCTTCATTATATGTCCATTTCCTACCTCTGACCAGAATAGAGGGACTCTGATTTCGGTTGTCCCAGCTGCCTTCATCTGTACACTGCTAGTGCTAGAAACTTGCATTTCTTTTTTTCTACAAGTAGTTTTCAGCAGCTTTGTTATGGGAGAGTTTTGTCGATTGATAGGATACCAATATTTCATTGTATCCTGTATGTGTTTTTCTAGTAGGAAAGCAGATTCACTGAGCTAGAGTATAATTTATTTTTGTTGTTTCTCTTTGTACCCTCTCCAGTGGGGACAGACGGACGGCAACACGTGGGAGAAGACCATTTGCACCATCGTCCTGGAACTCTCGCAGCAGAGTAAGTTCACTAACAAGGGTTTATTGAGTTTTAGAATTTCCTCAACTTTTGATCCTTGGGTAAACTTTCTTAACTTTTTTACATTCCCTATTATCCGTGAATTTACCAGGGAACAAGAGAAAAGTCATCTGAAAAAAAGCGGCTCTCCAGTACACCTACTTACGACCGGAAAACTGAGAAAGGTAGCTTAATTATCATATCCATAATGCTTTGTTGTGTATTCCTTACCCTATATTTATTATCTCTCATGACTGATCTGTAATCTATTTTATGCTATACAGAAAACCGTTTTGACGCAATCTCAGACCTCTCAGACATTGATGCCCGGCTACAGGCACTGCAAGATTACATGAAGAACCTGGACACTCGAACGTAAAGTGATCATCTACACCCGGACAGCCCCGTCTTATACCAAATATAAATGGTGATGGGGTGATAGCAACTAGACTCGTGTCGTGTTTTAAATTTTTTTTTTTTTTTTTATGTAATCATATCACCCTCCCACCCATCTCCACTGCGTGAATGGACGAATCCTTCTCTTGGCTTGTTTGAAGCCTCTCGTTACATATGGATTTGGCCCTGCTTTCACCATTGGTCCACATTGGTGTTGAATCCAGATTACCCAGAAGCTGATTGTATGATTATTGTATGTTCAGGTATTCCCTGGCCTATGTAGATGAAGGTCCATAGTCCAGAAATGAAGGGCATAGAGCTCTAATTTATAACGTAAACCATTTCAATTACGTGTACTTTTTCATGTGAGAGTTGGTTCATTAATGAAGTAACCAAAGATGCCAACAAACTAAGTCTCTGAGAGAGAAAATGGCAGGGTAGTTTGAATTCTATATATTTAAACTAGAATAAACTCCTAATTACTCTCTTCTTTGAGTATGTTGCTGTTTTTCATTCCCTTGTGTAACTCTGTGAGCTGTTTTGCTATATGGGCTTTTCTTTGTGGTTTCAGTATCGGGCTGTTAACTGACTTCCCATTGTAACTTGATTTTAGTGTGTGAGGTCCATTAACAGAATGGAGGATGATTTATGGAGAGGAAGCTACAGAGAAGCCCACGAGGGAAAATAGCCCCTGCCTTTACACAACAAAAAATCTGAAAGCTGGGGACACAAAACGAACAGGAAAAAAGTTTGTTTATCATGCAACAGAAATGTCAGGACTATTGTAATGCTACCATTTAGGTGTGGAAGGAACACTATAGCCGGAAACTCTCTTATTTTTTTTATTTTTTTTAATCGTGTGTGTATATATTCTTTATAGAAGTTTTTTTATGGTGGTTTTAATATGGGAGATTTTGTTTCTTTTTATTTATGTTGTTCATATTTTAATGTGTACAAGAAATGATTACTTGAGCCATTTTTTTTGAAATGTTAAATATACATGTATTTAAGAACAAATAACATATTGTGTATCTTGTTTTTTTGTTAGTGTGTGTGTGTGTGTGTGTGTGTATGTATATGTGTATAATTCAACTGCTGGGAATGGACGGGTTGCATCAAGTGTAACCACCAAATGACATGTAGCATGAAATGATGACTAGCGTGTTGGTGTCTGTGAATTCCTTATGTCAGAAAAAAATTAAATCTAGTTACATTTTGAGGTACACCAAGATATACCCCCTCCCTCACCAAGGCCAAATTCTCTCTGATCTTAATCCTCATTGGCTGTAGTCACTTCCCATTGCTTGACTGGTGTGGGGCGAGGGAGGGGGGTGTGTGTGCTGACTTCAGATGCCAATTTTGCACACAGAATTCACAGTCAGCCCGAACTTTATTCTGAGCTGGCTAGTGATGTTGCTAGAGGTGGAGTTACACCTCTGGAAGTCAAGAGCGAAACACTGCACATACAGACATCAGGCACCATGACCACTTTAAATCACTATAGTGGTCGTGGTGCTTGGAGTTGCCCTTTTAAATTTCCCTGGATATCTAGAAAGTGAAAGTAACTTATTCTTAAATTTTATTTCCCCCCGCCCCTACATCTCCCCCTATAACTTGGATAGCTTCTCGGAAGGTTTGCAGTCTGTTCATTGCTGCTTTTGAAGTGTTGTGAGTGCTAGTGGCTTACAGCAAATTTGTGCAGTAGTGCTGGTGAGTCACACAACCCCTGAGCACCACAAGGAGTGGAATATAAGCTTCTATAATCAAACCGCTCTGAACACCTTCATAGGTAATGGGGGAGGGAGGGATCCAAGATACTTACCAGGGGTCTGAATTGTTATTCATAAATGGCTAATGAAGCCAAGTGGAATTGTGTGTGTAACTGCATAATGGATTCATTTCCTAAACTCCTGAAATTTCTACAAAGTCGAAATAAAACGGTCTAAACAATTCCTCAGGCCAGATTGTAAGTGCAGCACAGAAAACCCAGACAAACATCTGGAACTTGGTTTAGCTGACTGAGCATTCTTATTTTAAAATTATTTTATTAATGCAATTTTGGCCTACCATTTGCAATACTTGTCGGTTCTTCTCTTTCTCAGTTGTAAACCGAGAGTCAGTGAAGTTTTTTTATAGTATTACATTCTCATTGCTTTACAGTATATTAACTATACGCTGAAACTGAACTGCAGTGGATTGAATTCTGAATTGCAAAATTTAGACAAAGTGCTGATTTGGGAAAAAAATCTCCAAATTGGCTGTAGTTACAGGCTGATCATTTTTAAACCTGAATTTTGCAATTCAGATTTCAATTCACTGCATTTCAAGTGATTATTGCCCTAATGTACCTCTCACCCAATTTTTCTGCAGCTGTATCTGGCATGGGAGTGTTTGTTGCTTACCCAAGGTAAAATGATCGTTCAGTATTTTGAGCATGCCCGAAGCAGGTAAGAGAATTAGATTTCAACTGGAAATTCAAGATTTTTTTGATTTTTCTAATTGCCACATGCATGTTAAAGCAGATTAATCTGTCATTTGAAACTGTATGAATCAAAATATTTAGTGGTTTTGTAACATTTGCCTTTACAGTTTTCCTGGGGCTGGATGCAGCTAAATTCTTTACCAATATAAGTCAATCACACGCTTCTTAAATTAATGTTTAAAGGAACAGTATAATGTCAGGAATACAAACCCGTATTCCTAGCGCTTTAATCTTGAAGTGGCTGTTTAGGTGACCCCCTTATATTGCTTTGAATAGGTTATTTTACTCCCCTTTTCTCCACACGCCACACTGGTCTCCCTGCTGGCTCTGACTCAGTGGCTGTGATTATCAAACCTCCTATACTAAAGCATTGGGACGCTATCGTGCATGCATTGCAAAATGCCGTGCTGCCCCAATCAGCATCTCCTCATAGAGGTGCATTGAATCAGTGCATCTCTATGGGGAAAGTTCAGCGCCTCCATGCAGAGCGTGGAGACTCTGCACACTGCAACTCGGATACAGGAAGAGGTGTTAAAGGAGCACTATCGGGTCAGGAACACAAACTTATATTTCTGACCCTATAGTGTAAAATCCACTTTCTGGCCTTCCCTTTACTAAATATAGTAAAATCTTACTTGAATTCAAGCCTGAAGCTGCTGACTCTGCCCCTGTTTGCCTCAGAGCTGCAAGCTGTCTGCTGACATCATCAGAAGTGTTGTTCTGAGGCAATAACAGTACTTCCCCATAGGATTGGCTGAGACTGTCAAGGAGGCAGATCAGGGTCAGAGCCAGCACAATTCAAACACAGCCCTGGCCAATCAGCATCTCCTCACCGAGATGGATTGAATCAATGAATCTCTATGAGGAAAGTTCAGTGTCTGCATGCAGAGGGAGGAGACACTGAATGTTGTGATGCATACTGAGCTAGGAAGCAGCTCTAGCAGCCATCTAAGGAGTGGCCAGTGAAGTTATCACTAGGCTGTAATGCAAACACTGCATTGAAAAGACGGTGTTTACTGCAAAAAGCCTGAAGGAAATGATTCTACTCACCAGAACAAATAAAAAAAGCTGTAGTTGTTCTGGTGATTATAGTGTCCCTTTAATAGGCAGCAATGAAAACACTGCCTTTTTTGTCTTAAAAAGCAGTGTTTATGGTCCTAACACTGCGGGGACAGGCTATAGACACCAGAACAACTACATTAAGCTGCAGTGGTTCTGGTTACTATAGTGTCCTTCTAAGAATAATCAAGTTATTTTCTTAATGTGCACGACCACTTTGTCATTATGTCAAAGCAATGGATAAGTGATCTGTAACCCCATTAGAAGTTGGGTTAAAGGTTAAAGATGAAACCCTCCCTTGTCCTGCTTTCCTTATATGTAATTTATTGTAGTCCACTCACACCTCATTAATGGTGGCTAATGTCTTGGAACTTTCAGGTTACAGGACAGGATTGGCTGACACTAGCAACCACTTTTTGGTCCCTGTAGACTTGCAGGAATTGTAGGAAGGCTTGAGGGAGAGCATTTTTAAAAATGCATTATCACTATGGGCTAAACAGAGCAATGGCCTCTTTTAAAGATGTATCTTTGTACACAAAGTGGTAGTTGGAGGTATTCATTTTAACAAATTGGAGAATGAAAACTCAAACTCCCTTTGGATAGGTAAGGGGTGCTCTTTGTTAGGTGTGACGTGAAAGCTCTGTACTCGTATGGTAGAGGTTTGTTTAAAGGTGTTCATTTATCTGATGGGTCTGTGAGTTGGAGCTCTTATCACTATAATGGGTTTGGGGATTATATTTTGTAAGAATGGGATAAGAGCTTCATGTAACTACTGTAGGTGATTTGATAAGAGGACTCACTAAGAACTCTATTATTTAGATAGCCGTATCTCACTTTGGAAATGAGAGAAGAATCCTGTGTCCCTAAAGCAGGTAAGTGGTTTAGATCCCTCTGCCATTGTGATAGTTAAAAGGTCTGAGTAGAAAGCGAAGGTAATAACTGTCTGAGAAGGCAATAACTAAGAGTATTTGGAGTTACTGTTGCAGTGGGCAGGAAGGGCACATAACTGGTAAATTAGGGGTTAATGGCTATGCGTGTCACACAGACCATGGACGAGTACTGATAAGGGCAATATGTGTGAATTTAGAGAGCAACTAATGTTTCACCAAACTAGAAGCTAAACATATTGTAACAAGTTAGGGGTTATAAGCAAGCTGGCACACTAAAGGTTAACCACTCTGCGAGGCAGAGGAACGCAGCTTCAAAGGGTCAATCAGCAGGTAATTATTAAACGATCTGTTATTCATTTTACATCTTCATCTCCATTTTGTAAACCGAATGTACATGTGCTAACTAGTGTCAATCTGTGCTCAAGTCTAAAGCACATGCTTAACCCCTTAAGGACCAAACTTCTGGAATAAAAGGGAATCATGACATGTCACACATGTCATGTGTCCTTAAGGGGTTAAACAAAAAAAAAGAAATGCAAATTAATATTCTGTTAACTTTTTTTTGATAAAAGAGTTTTAGCTCAACACAAAAAGGCGTAAATTGTCTCATGGCTATTTCATAACATTTATATTCAAATATTAGTGAAAGAGCCTCTCATTGTGTAGCAATAATTTGAAATTTTCTATAAAATAATTTGAAAAAAAATACATTTGAATGCACAGAAAGTTGGTTGTATTTCTTATTCTACTAAATAGAAAGATGGCAGGTTTAAAGATGACCGGTTATCAGGTGGCATTTGGGGGCACAATCACTCCATCCATGATCGGAGTTTCCCCTTTACTAAGATTTTTGTGCAAATCATAGAATATATTACAGCACTGCGGAACTTGCTGGCGCTTTATAAATAATAATATTAGATTAAATTTGGAATGTATTAACTTAATTGAGAATTGTAGAGAATTTTTTTTAGATCAAAATAACAATTCAGGCCTAAAATGTTAAATTCCATTACCCTGTCGGTTCCCAGTTGACTATAATCCTTTCTACTTTCATTTTTCAAGGAGGAGACAGGAAAACAGATTTCAGATAGATGGCACCGCCAACCAACTTTGCGTCAGACGCTACCAATCTGTTGTCCGCTATCTGACTCTTCAGCCTACCCAGCATAGCTGTGGTTTGGTAGTATTTAAAGGTGATATGTTCTTCAGGACAGGATTTATATCGGTTAGACTCTAGGCTTGGGGCTAGTGATTATCAGGTGGGCTTTTTTTTCACAAATACTGAATTGTGGTGAATTCAATCAAAATTGTAAGCATAGAATGTGACGGCAGATAAGAACCATTCTGCCCATCTAGTCTGCCCAATTTTCTAAATACTTTCATTAGTTCCTGGCCTTATCTTATAGTTAGGATAGCCTTATGCCTATCCCACGCATGCTTAAACTCCACCGTTTTAACCTCTACCACTTCAGCTGGAAGGCTATTCCATGCATCCACTACCCTCTCAGTAAAGTAATACTTCCTGATATTATTTTTAAACCTTTGCCCCTCTAATTTAAGACCATGTCCTCTTGTTGTGGTAGTTTTTCATCTTTTAAATAAAGTCTCGTCCTTAACTGTGTTCATTTCCTTTATGTATTTAAATGTTTCTATCATCAATTTAGGCTAAAACAGCTATTGTTAACAGGAGTAGTCCCAGAAGATTGGAAGTTAGCGAATGTTGTGCCCATTTACAAGAAAGGTAATAGGGAGGAGTCGGGCAACTATTGGCCAGTAAGCCTTACTTCAGTAGTGGGGAAAGTGATGGAAACCATGTTAAAGGATAGGATTGTTGAACATCTAAAAACACATGGATTTCAAGATCAGAGACAACATGGGTTTACTTCAAGGAGATCATGCCAAACTAATCTTATTGATTTTTTTGATTGGGTAACTAAAATTATAGATCAGGGTGGTGCAGTAGACATTGCTTACCTAGATTTCAGTAAGGCTTTTGACACTGTTGCACATAGAAGGCTTATCAATAAACTGCAATCTTTAAGTTTGGATACCAGTATTGTTGAATGGGTAAGGCACTGGCTGAGTAACAGGCAACAGAGGGTTGTAGTTAATGGAATATATTCGAAGCTTGGACTTGTCACCAATGGGGTACCTCAGGGATCTGTACTTGGACCCATTCTCTTTAATATTTTTATTAGTGATATTGCAGAAGGTCTTGATGGTAAGGTATGTCTTTTTGCTGATGATACTAAGATATGTAACAGGGTTGATATTCCAGGAGGGATAAACCAAATGACAAATGATTTAGGTAAACTAGAAAATGGTCAGAATTGTGGCAACTGACATTTAATGTGGATAGTGCAAGATAATGCATCTTGGGCGTAAAACCCAAGGGCAGAGTACAGAATATTTGATAGAGTCCTAACCTCAACATATGAGGAAAGGGATTTAGGGGTGATTATTTCTGATGACTTAAAGGTAGGCAGACAATGTAATAGAGCAGCAGGAAATGCTAGCAGAATGCTTGGTTATATCGGGAGAGGTATTAGCAGTAGAAAGAGGGAAGTGCTCATGCCATTGTACAGAACACTGGTGAGACCTCACTTGGGTATTGTACACAGTACTGGAGACCGTATCTTCAGAAGGATATTGATACCTTAGAGGAGGTTCAGAGAAGGGCTACTAAACTGGTTCATGGATTGCGGGATAAAACTTACCAGGAAAGGTTAAAGGATCTTAACATGTATAGCTTGGAGGAAAGCGAGACAGGGGGGATATGATAGAAACATTTAAATATATAAAGGGAATCAACACGTAAAGGAGGAGACTATATTTAAAAGAAGAAAAACTACCACAACAAAGAGGACATAGTCTTAAATTAGAGGGTCAAAGGTTTAAAAATAATATCAGGAAGTATTACTTTACTGAGAGGGTAGTGGATGCATGGAATGGCCTTCCAGCTGAAGTGGTAGAGGTTAACACAGTAAAGGAGTTTAAGCATGTGTGGGATAGGCATAAGGCTATCCTAACTATAAGATAAGACTAGGGACTAATGAAAGTATTTAGAAAATTGGGCAGACTAGATGGGCCGAATGGTTCTTATCTGCCGTCACATTCTATGTTTCTATGTAAGCTGTGTTAAAAAGTGTATGTAAATCTGACATTTCAACCTAAATGTTGTAATGTGGTTTTAAGTCTGCTACAATTCACAGGGCTATTCAGTAAAGTGAGACTTTGACGTGAAATCAAATTGAATCTCAAATTTAAAGGGACAGTATATTCACCTGAACTACAGCTTATTGTCGTTCTGGTGAGTATAGCTTGTCCCTGCAGGCATTTTGCTATAAAAGCTGCCTGAGAAATGAGTGTTTACAATACAGCCTAGGAACTCCTCAGACGGTCACAATGAGCAGCATGTAGACGCTGAACGTTCTCCATAGGAGGAGGAGATGATTGGCATAGCGTGACATTTTGCCATGCATGTGCAATAGTCTCCCAATGCGAAAGCATCTGATTGGCTGAAATCCTCAAATCTAATGTCAGCCAAAGAGGAAGGTTGGGGGCAGGGCCAGATATTGAGTGAAAAGGTGAGTAAATCACCTTTCTAACCCAAGGTAATGGGGATCCGACCACCTAAATGGTGGTTTTACAACTATAGTATATCAGGGTTCACACTTTTGTGGTCCTGACACTATAGTGCCCCTTTAAGGTAAGAATAGCTGAAGTGAAACATTTTCTAAGTCTGCTATGCTTTAACTTCTACTACTCTGGCCTTCAATTTGAAATTCACTTTGAATTCCCACTTTAGTAAATAACCATGCCCGTATTTAGTGGACAATGTATTTGTTTTTCACGTCATAAAACATAAATATTGCGTTTTTAGGATGGTCTATCTGGAGAGTAGATGGTTAATTGCAGTGCGCCAAAGGGTTAAGCAATGTGCGCCGATCTGCACTATGTTTGGTTACATTCCTCTGCAGAGAGTTTTCGGATGTTTATATTTAGAGCGCGTGGATCTCCTGAATTTAGAGAGACATGGAAAGAATGAGATTTCTATCTGTCCATCTATCTCTGGGCCGGTCTGTTTAATTGTCTGACCTTTTTAAATTCTATTTGTTCATCTGCCGTGTATATTTTCCATCAAATTTATAGCTATATAGTGTAATCACCAGAAATTGTTTTCCTCTGTAGGTAATAACTGGTTTCAATATCTCAATTAACTAGAAGAGCCACAACCTGCATTCCCCTATATGTAGGAGAGCAATGCAGCATTTATATTGCCAATAAATTGCTAGTAATCTCAATAGAAACATAGAAACATAGAAACATAGAATGTGACGGCAGATAAGAACCATTCGGCCCATCTAGTCTGCCCAATTTTCTAAAAACTTTCATTAGTCCCTAGCCTTATCTTATGGTTAGGATAGCCTTATGCCTATCCCACGCATGCTTAAACTCCTTTACTGTGTTAACCTCTACCACTTCAGCTGGAAGGCTATTCCATGCATCCACTACCCTCTCAGTAAAAGTAATACTTCCTGATATTATTTTTAAACCTTTGTCCCTCTAATTTAAGACTATGTCCTCTTGTTGTGGTAGTTTTTCTTCTTTTAAATATAGTCTCCTCCTTTACTGTGTTGATTCCCTTTATATATTTAAATGTTTCTATCAATGTGCACTTCGAATGCATATACATATATAAGGAATTATTCACTGAACGAGATATAGTGATTTGAAAGTAGAAATGTCTCTGCTAGACTATTAAAGCCTAAATTCTGCAGTTTGGTTGTCAATTTGCTGTTAAGTGACTAAACCCCTAGAAACTGGTTTCTGGCCTTGCGCTATTATACCTATTGGAATTTGCAATTGGAGAAAAATAATATATTGGTTTAAGCTGTTTATAAAGAACAAAAAAACAGTTTTAAGGCTTTATGTAATTCATAAAAAGTAGTAGGAATCTGGTTAATCAGAAAGATAAATTTAAAGTCTTTTAGATTGTAAGTTCTTTCGCCACGGCCCTCTTCACCTAATGTTCCTGTGTGTCGTACATGTTTTGTTAGAATTTAAGGATTGTCTTGTTTCCTCACGTACAGCGCTACAGAAAACGTTGGGGCTATATAAAGAATCGTAACTAAAATACAGAAAATGTTTTTGTATTTACTAAACTGGGAATTGTTGGAATGAACAAGCAAATGTAAGATAAGATAGCTGAGTTGGAAGAACAATTTTGTAAAAAATTTGTTTTACCTTAAGGTGTGTAATCCCATTGTAAAGCCCTTTCAGTTCTGTTTTAGTGAATCAGTCGCACTGCGTGTACTTGGGTTGAAAATGTTTGGAAGGGTAGCGCCCACATCGGCCTGAGTATTGGAAAATTGATGGCATGAAACGGTGCCCTGTGTTCTATGGTGGTTGGACGGTGGAGAGTTAACGTGCAGGCGGATACTGTGATAAATGGGGAGAGCAGTAATACAAAGCCTGAATTAATGTAAACATTTATCTATAATAGATTTAAAGGGTGAGACTGCGAAAAAGGGAATATTGGGACTGAAGGAGTTAAAGGGACAAGGGAGGTGGAGATGAATGAGTTGGGTTGTGACAGGAAGGAGGGGGGAAGAGGCTGGAACAAAAAAAAAAAAGTTAGAGAGAACAGAGGTAAATCGCGAGTGAGTGGAGTGCAGACAGAGGGGTAGATCAGGAGTGATTGGAGTGCAGTGAGGAAGGGGTACAGCAGGAGTGAGTGGAGTGCAGTGAAAGGAATAGGTATAGCAGGATTTAGTGGGGTGCAGTGAGATGAAGGTATAGCAGAGGTGAGTGCAGTGAAAGGAAGGGTAGATAAGGATTAGTGGACTGCAGGGAGCGGAAGGGGTATAGCAGGGGTGAGTGGAGTGCAGTGAGAGGAAGGGGTATAGTAGGGGTGAGTGGAGGGCAGTAAAAGGAAGGGGTATAGCAGGGGTGAGTGTAGTGTAGTGAGAGGAAGGGGTATAGCAGGGGTGAGTGGAGTGCAGTGAGAGGAAGGGGTATAGCAGGGGTGAGTGCAGTGTAGTGAGAGGAAGGTATATAGCAGGGGTGAGTGGAGTGTAGTGAGAGGAAGGGGTATAGCAGGGGTGAGTGTAGTGTAGTGAGAGGAAGGGGTATACCAGGGGTGAGTGGAGTGTAGTGAGAGGAAGGTATATAGCAGGGGTGAGTGGAGTGCAGTGAGAGGAAGGTATATATAGCAGGGGTGAGTGGAGTGCAGTGAGAGGAAGGGGTATAGCAGGGGTGAGTGGAGTGTAGTGAGAGGAAGGTATATAGCAGGGGTGAGTGGAGTGTAGTGAGAGGAAGGTATATAGCAGGGGTGAGTGGAGTGCAGTAAGAGGAAGGTATATATAGCAGGGGTGAGTGGAGTGCAGTGAGAGGAAGGGGTATAGCAGGGGTGAGTGGAGTGCAGTGAGAGGAAGGGGAATAGTAGGGGTGAGTGGAGTGCAGTGAGAAGAAGGGGTATAGCAGGGGTGAGTGGAGTGCAGTGAGAGGAAGGTGTATAGCAGGGGTGAGTGGAGTGCAGTGAGAGGAAGGGGTATAGCAGGGGCGAGTGGAGTGCAGGGAGAGGAAGGGGTACAGCAGGGGCGAGTGGAGTGCAGGGAGAGGAAGGGGTACAGCAGGGGTTAGTGGAGGGCAGTAATAGATTTTTTGAGGCAAACAATGTGCAGTCTAGAGATGTTCTTGGAGTTGATTAGTCATCAATATCTTAATACAAAGTGCTCTTTACATAGAATCTGTTACCTATAAAGTACCCCGTGCATTTAACAGTGAGTATTGCTACCAGCTAGAGGCCGTATCTTTAAATTATCTGCTGGAACCAGTTATCTGAGGATGCTCTGCTGGCCTTAGACCTCACGGACCCCAGGCAGAGACTTCATGGGTACAGATTCCAGGAGGAAGAGCCCTCAGTGACTGTGACATGGAGTGGATACTTTTCCAGTGAGTGTCAGTAGAACCACAGCTCCACGAATGGAGGGAACACCATTGGCCCCAGCATTTCTGGGTCTTGATGCCCTGCTGGACCTAATGCTATGTGTATGCCATGAGCTGGTTACATCTCCTCTGGCCCACGAGACACACATCTCTGAATTCCTGAGCTGGGGTGAGTGTTCGCTTGGCTAGCTGGGCATCATAGGAAACGTAGTCCTCATCAGCTGGTGTACTCCCAGTTTTTGTACTACGAGATCTGATGCGATGCTTTATGTTTTTTTTTTGTTTTTTTTTTAAATGTTTCCCCTTTTTCTGTCTTTTCAAAAACAGCTGGAAGGCATAGGATGTATTTTAATAAGGGCACAAGCTATAACAGCTGTATAGAAAAAATGCCACAATAGTGAGCCCTAAGTCCAGTGGGCGCAGTATGTAGAAAGATCTCCAAATGTTTTAGTAATGTCAAAGGGAAAAAATAATCTATTTCTAGGTTGGCAAATACTGTGCATATTTTTGTAAAATAGTTTGACTGCAACAAAACTTTCTAGAACAATTTTCTTATTTTAAGGGACGACACTCTAGTGTTTTGCTAAAATGTAGTGGTTTAATTATACCGTACATTTGTTTAGCTGATTTTGTTGCTATTCAGACATTTTTAATGCATGTCTGTCTATCTCAAGCTCTGTATTACTGTTTCATGTTGAGACTGGTGTCATGTCACACACTCCTTGTTACTCTGATTCTTTCTTTTAAGCAGCGGCAGATAAACACGTTTGTACTTAAGGGTATGTTGTTGCTATTTGTAAATTGTGTCACTATCCGTCACTACAATCTGTCTGCAGTTGTCACTGGATCACACTGAATTAGTTAGTGCTGCATATGTTGTTTGTATGAGCTGTTAAGGCAGACCGAAGATTTTCTGTATTTTTATTTTTTTTACTGCTTTGTAAGTAATGATATGCATTTTAATGTATACACACTGGTTTAACTGGCCGGGTGGGTTTTTAAGCGCAGGGAGTGTTCGATGTCTACATTGAACGCCCTGTAATTACAGATACAAGTCTGTCTGACCCGACGAGTGACACGGAGTCTTTCACGCCCATTGTAGGGTGATGCTCGGAAAGAGCCTAGAAATGTTTTGGGCATCACTGGGTGTCCTACAAAGAGCTTGTTTGCCCACCTTGCCATTCCCATTTCATGGTGACAGTGGTCTATGACACAGAGACTTTCACGCCCCTTGCAGGGTGACATGTGGAAAGTGCCTAGAAATGTTTTGGCCATCACTGGGTGCCCTGCAGAGAGCTTATGTGCCCATCCTGCCATTCCCAGTTTGTGGTGACAGTGGCCCATGGACTGGTAAGACTCTTCTGCCCTTTGCAGGGTGACAGCGGGCCTTGGAGGCTGCTATGCCTGTTGCAAGGTGACAGCATATCTGGGAGATGGATCTCCTGCTGCCATAAGGCCTCCCCTGCCCATCGCAGGGTAACTCTAAACTAAGAGTTCACCATGGCCATCACAGGTAGACATAGAGCCTAGAAGGCTGTCATGATCATCTCAGTAAGACATGAAACCTGGGAGACTGCTATGTCTGTAAGAGAGTGACTCAGACAAAGAACCACCTGGAAGTGTGTCCTAGCAAATTCAGGGTGACAGAGCAACTCTGAGGCTTCTTTTCAAAGCATTAACTCGGGAGGTGCACTGCTGGATTCTGAGGCACATTTTAAAAAGTGGACACATACAGATACATACACTTCTAAACATGCATAGAATGACAAATACCTACACCCAGATTCATAAATACACCTGCACATAAACAGATACAATAATGCAGAGACAGATACACATGTTACATACAACATGACTTGTTGCCAGTCAGACATAAATGACCATATCTTCTTGGGGGAGTAATTGCCCCCACCCCTACCTCAACCTCTGGATCCACCACTGAAATGATCACAACTTAGTGAGGACACCTCAGACTGTTGTGGCCTTTTTTGGGGTGGCACGGGAATTAGTAAAAATCCAGGGCCTTCAATGTAGAATGAGACTGTAACAAACTTAGGCCCTCACTGCAGTGTGAAGCATGATCTGTAGTGTTCTACTCCACCACTGCGAACTGGTGTTGTCATATATTGAGCAGATCTGTGACCTTCCATTCCCACCCCCTGTAGGGTAACAGTAACACAGGATGGCCTGTTTCCAGACATGACACTGTAGAAGTGTCGATTTGTTTCTGTGTAAGGTGTCATTAACTACTTGTATCTTACACAGTGCTTCCCTCTGGTGCAATATATACAAAAGTATTGAGAATGCCAGTTTTATCTCCCTAGGGGTCTCGTCCTAAATATACAGTTGTTGCCTAGTGGTTCACCCCCAACATGGGTCCTACTGGATCCTAACTGTCCCCATTTAGCATTCTGAGCATAGACAAATTTGGGACATTCTGTGACTGCCCCCTAATGTCTTTTGATGGGTGACTCTGGCAATGGAGCAACAGTGACAATAGCTATGGCCATCTGTCCCTAACCGAACAAAAGGTTTTCTCCATACTACCTATATAATACGCAGGAAACTGTAAATCCACTACCATTGTTGGGCTACAGCTCCCAGCATGCTCAGTTGTTTTTGGACTGCATGTCCCATTATGACACATTAAAAAAACAACAAAAAACAGCTAAAGATGAACATTAACAGAGCTCTGCCCTTGGGTGGCAGTAATACTGAGATCAGAGACAAGTTTAATAAGATGTAACTCGTGTTAGTCCGTCCAGGCCTGGGGGGATCCATGAAGAGACAGTGAACCTTGTTGTGTTGCTTGCTTGATGCAGAAGTGACCCTGGACTGCCTCAGGGAGTTCTGGTCACAAGTAATTTCCAACAAACTCAGAGAGAGAGAGAATGAGGCCATTCCATCATACGGATATTATAGATTGAACAAACCTGTGTGTTTCCACCTCATTCCATTCCTCACATTGACTCAGACCAGAGCTGGCAGTCTGCTTCTTACTCCAGAGCTGCCAGTCTGCCCATTATCCTAAGGGTGACGGGGACAAAGAAGCAGTTAGTTATCCTTAACCCTATTTGTGACTCAGAAGACAGGACCTGGCTGTAGTAGGTGCCAGACTGACCCAAATCATCTGGTTAATACAGAGTAGCTGACTGTCTCTTACCCTCTGTGTAACACAGGGTATCTGGCAGTCTTTTCTTTACAGTACCACAGGCAGGGAAGCTGGCAGTCTCATCCTTACCCCTATCTAAGTACCACAGGGTAGCCGGATGTCTGTCTTTTAACTTTGGAGTACCACACACACACAGTAACTGGCACTCTGTTTATTACCCTTTAATATGACAGACTGTACAGCTAGCAGTCTCTTTTCCCATTGGAATATTACAGATAGAGCAGCTTGCTGTCTCTTTTCTCCTTGAAATATGACAGACCGAGCAGGTAGCAGTCTCTTTCCCCCTTGGAATATGACAGGCCGAGCAGCTTGCGGTCTCTTTTCCCCTTGGAATATGACAGACAGAGCAGCTAGCGGTCTCATTTTCCCTTGGAATATGACAGACAGAGCAGATGCAGTCTGTCTCTTTCTACTCAGGATCAGACAATGACACAGACAGATGTGCTGCAGATTGACATGTAAAACAGATGTCAGTCTATCTCACATGATGACAGACAGAGGGCACCAGGATGCCTGTTCCCCTGTGCAGGGGACATTAACGGATGGAATGGGTTAAATGCCCAGACAAGGGGTGGTAACGCTCTTACATTAACCATATGTGGAGTCTGTAAGAGCGCAGACTGACAGTCCATAAAAGGAAGAGCTCTTACACTGCTCCCCTCACACCCTGTGATCTGATACCGCAACACCCCACTATCTGCAGTTTAACAGCGCAGCCCCCCAATATGTTCCCCGCCCCCATTTAATCATCAACCACCTCACCCCCCTGCCTCTACTACACTGACAGTGGTCCCCTCCTCTGTGATGTTTAATACAGCAGGCCATGTATTGCGCTGAATAAATATATTTCTCCTTAGTCCAGTTTCCCAACGCTGCAGAGTCCCAAACTACGGCCTGGAATTAATTTGTTTTAGTCAGAATCCGAAACGATTCCAATCTGCTAGAAAATACTTTTCAAATGATTAACCTACAGAAGACACAGTTAAAAGAATACACATCTGTATTCCGAATCCTACAGTACTGTTGTGGCCGTTTATTTTAGCTCCCCAGATATTAAGAAATAAAAAGGAAATAAATAAAAACAAAATGAATTACTTACCTCTTCAACGTCGAGTCTCCCTTAGTGCTGCCGCCATCTCCTCGAGTGACGTCCATCCAATCCAATGCTGAACACCTGGGTACCTTAGACGCTTACATGGTGCTCGCCGCGCTTCCAAGCCTTCTATTTAGGGAAATAAAGGGGCTTGGGGGTCAGGACAAAGAACAACTTCAATAAGATGAAGTTGTTATAGTGCCTACAGTGTTCCTTAAAAGTCTATGGGATTTTTTTTATAGATAAATAATTTGAAAAGTTTTTCTAACATATTGGAATCATTTCTGATTCAAATTAATTAATGGGACACTATAGTCACCAGAACAACTACAGCTTATTGTATTTGTTCTGGTGAGTAGAATCATTCCCTGCTGGTGTTTTGCAGTAGACACTGTCTTTTCAGAGGAAAGGCAGTGTTTACATTACAGCCTAGGGATACCTCCACTGGCCACTCTTTAGATGGCTGCTAGAGGTGCTTCCTTTGGCAGTGCTGCACAGTGAGCAGTACTGCCATTCAGTGTTTCCACCCTCTGCATGCATACACTGAACTTTCCTCAGAGAGATACATTGATTCAATGTATCTCTATGAGGAGATGCTGATTGGCCAGGGCTGTGTTTGGCTTGTGCTGGCTCTGCCCCTGATCTGCCTCCTTGACAAGCTCAGTCAATCCAGCGCTTTCCTATGGGAAAGCATTGTGATTGGCTTAGATTGCCACTTCTGATGATGTTTGTGTTCCTGACTATAGTGCTCCTAAATTGTGGCCTATGTTTTTTACACTAAGACACACGCACTCTCTCCCTTTCCCTGAAACAGCTGCAGTCGTTCTCCTACTTTATACTTGTCTTACACTAGATCCCGACTTAATGCACCATTTCCATTGTCTTCAAGGGTTTATATTGCCACTGATAAACAGGTCTTATGATCCAGATAGCTTTTGTTTCCCTAAAACACATGTCTCTTGCTCTATTCTATATCTAGGTTTCTTGCACTAGTTCCCCAGTCTGCAGGTTCTTACAGTGTTATTGTGTTTTCTCATTTTTATGATGTCGGATCAGTTTTTTCCTGGGCCCGATGGTGCTGTTTGCTGGCCTTTTCTTGGATCTGGTAGAGCCCAGCTCTGGCCTTTTCCTTGGTCTGGTGAAGTCCAGCTCTGGCCTTTTCCTGGGTCTGGTGGAGTCCAGCTCTGGCCTTTTCCTGGGTCTGATGGAGCCCAGCTCTGGCCTTTTCCTGGGTCCAGTGGTGGCCAGCTCTGCTCTTCCTCGATCCTTTCTACAAAGTTCTT